GAGAGAGAGGGAGATACAGAATCCGAAGCAGGCTCCAGGCTCTGAGCTAGCTGTCAGCACAGAGCCCGACGCGGGTCTCGAACCCACGAACCGTGTGATCATGACCTGAGCCGAAGTCAGACACTGAACCAACTAGCTATCCAGGCGCCCCCATTTTGCTTTTTTAACATACCAAATTTCTTTGAGCTGTATCGCAGACTTCTTTCTATCATACTTCTTCCTGAAGTTTTGTTGGAGAGGATTACAGAAAAGTTCATATAGCCCCTGGATCAGAAAATTGTCCCCGTATCACCAGTTGAGATTTCATATTTTCACCTGACCCTCTTCTTTTGGATTTATGTAACAAGATTTGCAAATAAGTATTTCATATTAATATTATTACATTGTTTATGTGGTTGGTCCATATGAGTTTTTAAAAACTTAAAATTGAAAGTCTTATGGTCAGTTTAGATAAAAACAGTTTAATTTATTTCCTTTTTAAGTAAGCGTGTTTATTTTTAAAGGCTCAAAGTCTGTGTTTACCTACAGTTATACTTAGTTTTTCTTCCAATGGAGTAAATACTACTTAATATTATACATATGAGCAGCTACCACAGAATGTTAATTTTGTCACAAGGACTTGGCAAACAGATATTTTGTAAAACAGTACAACTTTTTCAGTGAGGGCCTTTTTGCTTATTTTGAAGTTGTTTACTGTACAATACACATAGCCAGTGGTTTTTTTACATGGCCAGAATTTCTCACCATCATAGTTTTAGTGTCTTCCTGTGAAAGTCTGTAGTCACGCTTGGCTGTGTAGCTATTAAAAAAATTTTTTAGGTATGCCTGGCTGGTTCACTTGGTAGAGCATGTGACTCTTGATCTCAGGGTTGTGAGTTCAAGCTCCACATTGGGTGTGAAGCCTACTTAAAATAAATATTGTGGTAAAATGTACATGTTAACCATTTTAACTTCACAATTTGATGACATCACGTACGTTTACATTGATGTGAACCATTACTGCTTCAATCTCCAGAACTTTTGCATCGTTCCATACTGAGAAGCTGTTTTTTTAAGTTTGTTTTTGTAATCTCTACACCTGATGTGAGGCTCGAATTCACAAACCCTGAAATCAAGAGTTGGCATGCTCTTCTGACTGAGCCAGCCAGATGCCCCCTGAGTAGCTATTTTTAATGTTTTTGGTGGAAGGGCATCCCATCTAGTTCTGCCTGTATTTTGTTTCCTTGCATTAAGTTTTTCTTTGCAGTCTTATACCACTGTGCATATTTCCCGTCTTCTCATTTTATTCATTCAAGAAATATTTATTGAGCGCCTTTATGTGGTAGGGCATGGAACCTAGTGATGTAACTATTACCCCTAATGTTCAAATACAGAATAATCTGACACTAGCTACACTAGCATTGCTGTAGTTTTTCAAAATTCAAAAAGATAAAGCCTACATGGCAATATTTGAATTATGGCCAGACCTAATTAAAAGGAAAAAAAGATACTTGAGTAGAAGCTCTAAGTCACATCACATATCTGGAGAATCCAAAAGATTTTTTTGTGGTTGCAAAAAAAAAAAAAATAGCTGTTGTACACTGTTCTTGGATTTAACTTTAAATGTCAAGGAGCCATAAATGTCATTTGTATCTTGATAAATATTACTTTCCTTTTAAAGTGGATAAATATGGTTATAGAATGATCTATCGTTTGAGTTATTTTTGAAGCTATGTCTGTCCTAAGCAGTAAGTCTAAAGTTCCTTATTTTCAAGTCTCCTTTTTGTTCTGCAGTATTAATAAGATTTGAGTGTTTCAGGGGTGCATGGGTGATGCAGTTAAGCATCCAACTCTTGGATTTGGCTCAGGTTATTATCTCACAAACTGTGAGCCCTGCATTGGGCTCCATACTGACTGCATGGAGCTTGCTTGGGATTGTCTTTCTCCCTCTTCTTCTGCCCCTCCTTTGCTTGTGCTCACTCTCACTCTCTTCTCTCTCTCTCTCTCAAAGTAAGAAAATAAATAAAAACTAAAAAAAAAAAGACTTGAGTGTTTCAAATACCTGAAATTGCCTCCAGAGAGTATGCTAGTTGCTGTGTGTTTGGAGATCTCATTTTATTTTGTAATTATAATTGTAATTTCAGCAGCAATGTGAAGTTTCAACAATGCAAAATTTGTTATAATTGTTACCATGTAAGGTAGCCCAGAGTATGGAAAAAATAGTTTATTTGGATCTTTTAACACCAACTCTGAGATAACAAAACTTGTAGTTGTTATGTAGAGTATTGGAAGTGGCCTGATTTATTATCTTTTACTTAGAAGTTTGGTGAACTCTTGAAAAAAAAATTTTTAATATAATTTATTGTCAAGTTGGTTTCCATATAACACCCAATGCTCATCCCAACAAGTGCCCTCCTCTATGCCCCCCCCATTTGTTTTAACATTTATGTTTTTTGAGAGAGAGAGACAGAGCACAAGCAGAGGAGGGGCGGAGAGAGAGAGGGAGAATCTGAAGCAGGCTCCAGGCTCTGCACTGACAGACTGACACCAGTGAGTCTGATGTGGGAATTTGAACCCACAAACTATGAGGTCATGACTTCAGCCAAAGTCAGTCAGTTAGCCAACTGAGCCACCCAGGCACCTGAGAAGCTTGCTAAACTCTTAATGGTAGGTTGCTAAGCATGAAGTCAGCCTGTTTGATATTTGAAAATATAAAGGAAATTCTGAATCTAACAGTGAAACTGTTTAGGTCTTTTCAGCCTAACTCTGGAGATATGACCAAAAGCACCTAAAAATAGAAACTAAAAATATAAGGGAAAGTTTAGGAGTACATGCAGGGCAAAAGCATTATGGAACAATAGTTTGAGTTTATTTTTGTTTAAACTCAGGTTGCCTATTTGCTGCACCTTGTTTATGTTCAGGGCCTGTGTTTTGCTTCCGTATTCCACATTACATTCCTCTGTGGATATAGTTTTCCCAGACTGGGACTATGGTGTTTTGTTTTGTTTTTTAGATTCTGCATGTAAGTGAAATCATATGATATTTGTCTTTCTCTGTCTAACTTATTTCACTTCACAGAATTTCATGTGGTCACACATGGCTGGATTTCATCTTTATTATGGCTGAGTAATATTCCCCACTGTGTGATGTGTTTGTGTGTGTGTGTGTGTTTGTACACACACATCTTTTTTTTAATACCACATCTTCTTTATCCATTTGTCTATCAGTGGACACTTAGGTTGTTTCCATAAGCAAACAAAAAAAAAAAACAGAAATGAACTCAAATATATGTGGTTGCCAGGGGAGGGGGATGGGCAATAAAGGTGAGGGGATTAAGAGGTGCAGTTGTAAAAAAGTCATGGGAATGAAAAGTACAGCATAGGGAATAGTCAGTGATACCGCAATAACTTTGTATTGTGACAGATGGTAACCACACTTACTATGGTGAGCATTGCATAATGTCACGAATTGTTGAATCACCATGTTGTATACCTGAAACTAATATAACATATCAACTATATTTCAATAAAATCTATAGTTGGTTGCTTTGAGATATTTCAGGAATTGTACAGTGTCTAGACAAATAGTAGATACTCAATAAATTCTTACAGAATTAAGAGTACTCCTTAAAACAAAAAAGTGAGGAGCATTGCATGTTAAAAATATCCTGAGTTTTGCTTTGGTATTTATTTCTTTTTAAAATCTGTTAAGGATAATATAGTGCTAATTACTGTACAGTAACAAGGACTGTTCTCATTACAAATAATTTTGTTACTTTGACACCTGTGGAGCAGTTGCAAAGCCTCTATAACTAAGCTGGTATTATGCCTGCTATTGTTATTATGAAAATTATTATGGAAACACATCAAAACATGGTTTATTGTAGGACTGTTGAGTGGAAAAATAATGCAGCCATCCATGTAATTTAAAACTTTAGGGGCGCCTGGGTGGCCCAATCGGTTAAGCCTCCGACTTCGGCTCAGGTCATGATCTCATGGTTCATGAGTTCGAGCCCCGCGTCGGGCTCTGTGCTGACAGCTCAGAACCTCCTTTAGATTCTGGGTCTGCCTCTGTGTCTGCTCCTCCCCAGCTTGTGCTCTGTCTCTCAAAAAGTAAATAAACATTAAAAAAATCTTAAAAAAATAAAATAAAATAAACCTTTATAGTAGTAGCCACATTAAAAAAAGTAAAAAGAAACCAGTGGATTTGTATATTTTATTTTTATTATTATTTTTAATGTTTGTTTATTTATTTTGAGAGAGAGAATGCCTATCAGCAGGGGAGGGACAGAAAGAGAGAGGGAGAGCGGAAACCCCAAGCAGACTCAGTATTGTCAATGCAGAGCCTGATGTGGGGCTTGATCTCACAAACTGTGAGATCATGACTAAGCTGAGATCAAGAGTCGGACACTTACCCAACTGAGCTACCCAGGAGCCCCTATATAATATATTTTAATATAAAATATCAAAACTATTATTTCCACATGTACTCAATATAAAAATTATTTAATTTACATTATTTTTTGTTGTTGTACTAAGTTTTAAAAATCTTGCTACACATCTCAATTAGGATGAAACACATATCAAGTGAACAGCAGAGCATGAGGCTAGTGGCTGTTATAATGCACAGTGTAGGTCTATCATTTTATTCTCTTTCTCTCATCAGATTTATTACCAAGGAATGATAGCAAGAATGTTAACTTTTCCTTGTTCAATGAACTGCCCAAAGGGTGGATGACAAAGAGATATAAGGAGTTTGGGCAGTTCATTCTCTGAGGAAGTAAGTTCATTGTTTTAGATAGACTAAAAAAAAAGATATCTGGTCTACATTGTTACAGTCTGAAGAAAGAATATAATTTGAAACCTGTTCTTTTTTTGACAATGATATCACATCAAGGAAGCAGAGATAGGCTTTCCATCTGGAGATACAGCATATTAGAATTCCTTAGAATTTGTCAAACAGCATCCTAAATTGGAATAAAAAGCACTGGCCTTTCCACACTATTCAGTAGCTTTAAAATGAGAATGGAGGCATGGGTAGAGCTTTTATGTGTCATCCTTGCACAGGGGCCTTGCTAATCTCTGTATTGTTCCAGTTTTTAGCATATGTGTTGCCGAAGCGAGCACATGGGTAGAGATTTTAAATGGGTGATTTGTTGTTACTCAATGTGACTGATGGAGTTCTTCTAAGATACTAGGGTATGGAATAGAGTTTTGGGTTATTCTTATGCAGTCATACAATCCAAAGAAGAGAATTTAATTAGCTGTAATTGACAGAACAAGCAAATACAACACAAACACATTAGGTTAATCAAATTCATTTTTTTTCTTTTCTAACCTAGTATTAGTGCTTCTCTTTGTGAGGTCTACTTTCTAGACCTTGGTGATAGGTAGGGATTATGAGTTAAGTTCCTTAAGGGAAATAGGATACAGGTGGGGTGGCCATATAATTTATTGTCTAAACTGCAGCACCTCTGGAGTGAGAGAGAGTGCTGTTAATTATTTTGGGACAGCATGTGTTAAACCAGTGCTGTCCCAAGCAGGTTAGGACATATGGCCACCCAAGTTAAAAGGCTTTGTTGAAGCTTTGCTATCTTCTATTTTGGCAATCCTGATAGGCTACGGAAATTGCATTTGTGGAAGTAATCACTTTTAAGGGCTTGATCTGTTGGTGACATCTCCTTCATCTCAGGGCTTAGACAACTTTTTATTTAGGGCACACTGAACTTCAGAGGTTGAATGAGAAGGGAAAGGTAAAACATTTTAATAACAGACTGGGTATATCTCCCATCCTCTACAAAAAGGTTTTTCAGGCATGAAATGAGACAGAAGAATGTTTCCTGTTAACTGTGCAGAGTTATTGTCTTTAAATTATAGATTAATTACTTAAAAACAATACTGAAATGGTATCTGGCTGGTTCATTCTGTGGAGCGTGTAACTCTTGATCTCAGGGTTGTGAGTTTGAGCCCCGTATTGGGTGTAGAGATTACTTAAAAATACAGTCTTTAAAACAAAACAAAAAAAACAAAAAATAACTGAGTACTTTCTTCCTGATAAAATTATGTTGCAAGACATTAATTACGTATTTGATTTTTATTGTTCAGTGCTTTTATTTAGATTTTTTGTTAACCATCTTTTAGGGAGCTATCGTAATATATTTGCTTGATCTGGTGACTTTTTACATTGCGTGTAAAAGGCACCGGATATGTGATGCCATATATCTTGGATCTACGTGACTTTGGAGGAGATACTGATTTTTTTCCTAGGCTTTTCTTTTTTTAGTATATATATAATAAAATTGGCTTTTTTTGCATGTCCATTTATGTGAATTTTAATGCATGTATAGGTTTGTGTAACCACGTTAGCAATCAGGATACAGAACAGTTCCACCACCCCTAAAATTCTTTTGTGCTGTTCACTGGACTCACACCCTCCTCTCATCCACAACCCCTGGCAACCTTTGATCTGTTCTCTGTTCTTATGTCTTGCCTTTTGCAGATTATCATATAAATGGAATCAAATAGTTGGCAACATTTGGAGATTGGCTTCTTGCACTCAGCATAAGGCCTTTGAGATCCGCCATGTTGTTCCATGTATCAATAGCTTGTTCCTTTTTATTGCTGAATAGTTTTCTATTGTATGAATGTACCACAGTTTGTCTTTCACCAAAATTGATAAGTTTTCAATGGCTATTTCTTTAAATGTTTTTTCTGCATCATATTCTTTGTCTTCTTTCTGATGACATGGTTGTTTATACCCACAGATTGCTGAGACTCTGACCTCCTTTGAGAACACTGTTGTTCATTTCTTGGTGTCATTTGTTCAGCAGTTTTTGAACACTTGTTTTCTGTTCTCCTGTTGATAGGCAGCTATTTCCAGGGTGGTTTTCTTGTTTTGTTTTGTTCTATTTTAGAGAGAAAGCACAATTGAGGTGGGGTTTGGGGGAGATTGGTGGCGGGAGTGCGGAGAGAGCGAGAACGGGAGAGAGAGAGAGAGAGAGACAATCTCAAGCAGGCTCCACATTCAGCACAAAGCCAGACATGAGGCTTGATCTCACGACCTTGGGATCATGACCTGAATCAAAAGCAAGAGTTGGACACCCAACCGACTGAGCTACCCCAGCTCCCCTCCAGGAATTTTTTCCCCCTAATAAAAATACAGCTGTGAACATTCTGGGTACCTGGCCCAGGCTTTCTCTATGGTATTTGCCTATGAGCAGGATTGCTAGGGTGTAGGATTTGCATATTTTTCTTAACAGATGCTGCCCAAAGTGGTCATAAGCAATTTACTTTTTTTTACCAGCAGTGTGAAAGCGTTTACATTGCTCTATATCCTTTTCAACACTTGGTATGGTCAAACTTTTTATTTTTGACTAGTCTTTTAAATTATTTTTCTGATTATGAGTGAGGCTGAGCATTTAAAAAATATATTAGCTGTTCGAGTTTCTCCTACTATAAGTTGCCCATTTATATATTTAATCCATTTTTCTATTTAAATTTAAAATCAGCTCTTGGGGGCCCCGGGTGGTTATGATCTCACGGCTCATCCACATTGTCAGTGTAGAGCCTGCTTGGGATTATCTGTTTCCCTTTCGCTCTGCCCCTTCCCCTCCCTCCCACTCTCTGTCTCTCTCTCTCTCTCACTCAAAATAAATGAATATTAAAAAAAATAAAATCTGCTCTTAGGACCAATTTTAAGTGTTTTCTATATAATTGTACTGTTTTAAATATTTGTCCTTGATCAAAAACTTTCAGTGGCCTCTGATATGAAATCAAGAGTCCCTAGTTTATCTTTTTAGATACTCTACTTCAAAAATCATCATTGCCCAGAGCCTTCTGGTTGGTAAACATGTGGAGATGTGGGAAGAATGGTGTGCCTGGAGAGAGCACAGAAGCTCCGTGCCCCTTCCCACATACCTTGCCCTACGCATCTCTTCCATCTGGCTGTTCCTGAGTTTCTGACACTGTCTCCAGGGAGATAGTGTCAGAATTGAGTTGGATTCTTGGATACTGTGCTGGTGTCCAAGAATTGCTTACTGGTGGGTTGGAAAACACCTTCACACACACTTAGGTATTGAGTCCAGGAATCCAAAATAGTTGTTATGTGTCAGGAAAGGGAAATTGACAGAGAAGAATAATTCCAGATGAGGAACAGTGATCATCCATGAACCATGAGAGTCAGCCAGCCAGCTCCTCAGAAACCCAAACACAATTTTCATGAGAGAGAGACTATGTAAGAAAATTCATGTGAATAAACTATACCTCGATGAGTTTCATATGTCAGTTTGCCTTTAAATGGTTTTAAAATACGTTTCATATCAAATTATGGCCACAGGAGCACAGATCTGTCAGGTGGAAAAGTCTTCAGTAACAACCTCCGTGTCTCAGCTTACATACATCTAGTTAAAAAAAAAAAAATCATTCCTCATTTTCTCCCTTCTGAAACTTTGTACACTGTTTTGTTATATTTTATGGAGTCAGTATGTTCTCTGTATAAATTCAGATTGAGGATGCATGTCAGCAGCTGAAACATATTTAGTATTTTAAAACCAAATCAGCTTACTTCATCTGTAATCCAGACCTCATGTCTGGATAAGCAGCCATTTTTAGCTTGTGGTATATCATATCAGTGTTGCCATACATTGTTAGCAAAATGCTGTTCCAGTGACAACATATTTGAATACTACATAGCATGAAAATATTTAACTTGGGAAATAACAGTTGACTTTTGAACAATACAGGTTTGAACTGCATGGCTCCACCGATACATGGATTTTTTATAGCATATTATGTAAATGTTATCTCTTATGATTTTTCTAATTCTTTTCTCTAGCTTTATTATAAGAATACAGTATATAATATATATATATAAGATATGTGTTAACCAACTGTTTATGTTATTGGTAAGGCTTCTGGTCAGAGTAGGCTATTAGTCATTGAGTTTTTGGAGAGTCACTTCTTATATATAGATATTCAATTGTGCAGGGGTCAGCACCCATAACACCTACATTATTCAAGCGTCACTTGTATGATTCTTAAACTACTTTGTGTTTCTGGCTTCTTCCTAGTTGGCTTTTAAAGCCAGATGAAGTGGTGGTTTTATTTCTTAGTGGCCATGCTCTGTGTCTGAGATATACTCTGGACTAGAGATGTTGTAGTTTAGTCATAATGCACACTGAATAGATAAAATAATTCCTATGTAAATGAGGTAAGTGCACATTAGCAAATAGTCATTCAGTATCACTCTTGACATTTGGCAATCATGTTCATCTGCCTGTTCATGATGAAGGGAGCCATGTCTTTGGCAGATTATTTTGCCAGATGTCCAAGGTTTCCTTCCCAAATGGAGCAGCTTGAATCACATGAATCTGGCCTTGATCTTAATGGAGCTCAGTTTATATATAGTTTGTAGAGCTGCCAAGTAGAAAACAAAGATTCATGAAGTTCATCCCTTGCTATGCCTTATGGGACAAAGTTTTTGCTTCTTGTGCTCTGTTGTGCAAGTATCTCAGATGGGTAGTAAAGTGAAGAGAGAAAGGACAGGGAAGGGTTTTATTTTTCCTTGTTTTCTTGTTTTCAGTTTGGAGGTTTTTCATGCCCCAAGGAAGGCAGTGTGTTCTAGGGGAAAGAACAATGAACTTAGCCTATTTTCTGCTCTAGTTCTGATTTCATTTTTTATTTCATATGTTTCGATGATCACCCAGACTTTTCTCCTTTATTAAGTGGAGGTAATATTGCTTCTCCTTTGTACCCATGCAATAGGGCAGGCTGCATAAAATGCTACCAAAAAAGCCAAAAAAGAAAGCATATATTGCCAAACTGATAATATTAGTGATGAAGCTGATTATCCCCACTGTCAATACCTATACTAGAAGTTTCCAAATTATGGTTACCTTTTGATTGAGCCATCTGGTATAATACCTCTAGTGGGTACTATAATATGATTATAAAGAATCAAAGATGATATAATTCATAAGTCTCACATTTATAGAATGCTTCTATTCTCAAAGAGCACTTTCATAACTTTTCCTTTATAGTGCATTGGAATAACGAAAGCAAGATTTTTATAAGTGTTTGTATGATATACTGTTGGCAGAAATAATTATTTCCATGTGCATATAACTTTA